GTGTCCATGGGGTGGGTTCTTGGGGGGTCTGGGGATCACTGAGGGGTTGGGAGGTCATAGGGAGGTCATGGTTGGATCTTGGTGGACCTCAAGGTGAAGATGAAGGTCATGGGTTGGGGTCTTGGGGGGGTTCCTGGGGGGTGGTGGTGGGGCTGGAGGTCAAGGTCGTCTTCAGGGGTCCCTAAAGCCCTTGAGACCCTCAGGGCTGGTCCCACCACCCCAGGACAAGATCCCCAAAGCCCTTGAGACCCTCAGAGCTGGTCCCACCACCCAATAAGATGATCCTCAAAGCCCTGGAGACCCTCAGGGCTGGTCCCACCACTCAATATGATGGTCCTCAAAGCCCTTGAGACCCTCAGAACTGGTCCCACCACCCCAGAAAATGATCCCCAAAGCCCTTGAGACCCTCAGAGCTGGTCCCACCACCCCAGGACAAGCTCCCCAAAGCCCTTGAGACCCTCAGAGCTGGTCCCACCACCCCAGAACAAGATCCCCAAAGCCCTTGAGATCTTCTAGGCTGGTCCCACCACCCCAGATCATGGTCCTTCCATTGACCCCACCCTTTTCTTCCCTCCTCCAGGGCGAATCCAAACGCATCACCTTGGTCCTCCAACAACCCCCAGGTGGTGCCAACACCCCACCTGGCCAACGTCACGTGGTCCTGGGCAGCTTACCTGGCAAGATTGTCCTCCAGGGCAACCAACTGGCCGCTCTGAGTCAAGCCAAGGGGACACCTGGCCAACCAGCCAAGGTGGTGACCATCCAACTCCAAGTCCAACAACCTCCAGGTGGCCAAGGAGCTCCTCAGAAGATCCAGCTCCTCCAACAGGGCGGTGGGAGCGGCCAAGCGACGCCGGTGACGGTCTCCTCGGTGCCCCAGGTGGTGGGAGGAGCTGGGCAGAGGTTGACCGTGCCCTTGAAGGTGGTTCTGCAGCCTCAGGTGAGGGCTTGGGGGAGGGATGTGGTGCCCAACGTGGGGCTGCACCCAACGTTGGGGTCAGCTCAGCCAACCTTGGTCTTGGAGCTTCAGCCAACCTTGGTCTTGGGCCTTCAGCCAACCTTGGTCTTGGAGCTTCAGCCAACCTTGGTCTTGGAGCTTCAGCCAACCTTGGTCTTGGAGCTTCAGCCAACCTTGGTCTTGGAGCTTCAGCCAACCTTGGTCTTGGAGCTTCAGCCAACCTTGGTCTTGGAGCTTCAGCCAACCTTGGTCTTGGAGCTTCAGCCAACCTTGGTCTTGGAGCTTCAGCCAACCTTGGTCTTGGAGCTTCAGCCAACCTTGGTCTTGGAGCTTCAGCCAACCTTGGTCTTGGAGCTTCAGCCAACCTTGGTCTTGGGCCTTCAGCCAACCTTGGTCTTGGGCCTTCAGCCAACCTTGGTCTTGGGCCTTCAGCCAACCTTGGTCTTGGGCCTTCAGCCAACCTTGGTCTTGGGCCTTCAGCCAACCTTGGTCTTGGGCCTTCATCCAACCTTGGTCTTGGGCCTTCAGCCAACCTTGGTCTTGGAGCTTCACCCAACCTTGGTCTTGGGCCTTCACCCAACGTTGATGGGACCCAACGTTGGGCTCCATTCACCCAACCTTGGTCTTGGGCCTTCACCCAACGTTGATGGGACCCAACGTTGGGCTCCATTCACCCAACCTTGGTCTTGGGCCTTCACCCAACCTTGATGGGACCCAGTGTTGGGTCCATGTCCCCCAACCTTGGTCTTGGGCCTTCACCCAACCTTGGTGGCACCCAACGTTGGGCTCCATTCACCCAACCTTGGTCTTGGGCCTTCACCCAACGTTGATGGGACCCA